GCCATGCCCTTTGCTGGATGTTTGGACTTGGAGATACTTTTCTGTACACAGTGGTCTTGATCAGGCTCTGTAAAAATAAATTCTGCCCGTTTTGCTCTGCTAAGCAGCCGAGAAGCTTGAAAAGGAAAAAAGACATTTCTCTCACAGATAGGACTGAATGTACAGAAACCTTTGCAACCATCATGTGTTTGAAGTATTTATAGTTCAATTCCAGTTATTTGTATGAAACAAAAGCAAAGAAGCATGAAGTGCGTTGGAAAATACTTTATAATCTCTCTACAGCAGTTCAGAGAGTGAGTATAAATCCTCTTTCCAGCAAATGGAAACCAGTAATTTATTGCAGCCTTGAAGAAAGCAATTTATTTCTCTSTGCTTCCTGCCCAGCACTTTCTGCAAGCTGACTCATGGAGGGATGGGGAGCCAAAAGCTGTGCTCCCTCTTTCCTCTCTGCTTCTGGAAGGCAGAGCAGCAATGAAGCTGGGGCTGTGCTCATGCAGAGCAGTTTGGAGGTGCCTGGCAGTATCAAAGGCTCACAAGCCCTGCTTTCTCTCCTCTGTGCCATAGGTTTTGGACTGGTACCAGCGCTGCCAGTGCAGGTTGGAGGTGGTTTCATCCCATCTCTGCTGGTCTTTCTCCCCTTCTGGCCCCGTGTGTGGGACCACGCAGCCATCAGAGCTGCAGAAGGTTCTGGGGATGTTAKTGGTGCATGCAGTCAGTGCTGATCCCCAGAGGGAAGCATCACATGGCCTASTTCTGAGCTGTGACCTTGCTGCTTGTGTCTGTATTTAACTTTGCATGTGTGAGCTGTCCCACAAAAGTCAATGGCCCGTTCACATGTGTGAAGTTAGGCATGTGCTAAAGTGCTTTGCCAGATTGGATACTGTGTCTGCCGGGGCTTTGGGTGAGCTTGAACCCGTTTTGTTGGGGTGAGAGGCTTTAGATTTCATTATTAGGAATCTGATATGTTACTTTCTCTGAGTGCAAGGTCCTGRAGTTATCTGAAATTCTCATTAAGACAAGAAGCTAGGAAAAAGACAAATTCCTCCACTAGTAATGTTACTAAAAATACTATAATTAAATTATCTAAGTCTTAAACCCAGTAAAATATATTGAGAAAGTGTGGTAGAGATATAAGTRCAGTGTTCTGAGAGTACCAAAGGGACTAACAGCACTTTCTCTGCAGATATTGAGCTGGAATATTTGGAGTAGTTAATGTAACTGATGTAAAAAGCGTGTTGCTTTTTCTRTACTCTTGATTCATAGGCTGTGACCCTTAATAAATTTTGATGTTGCACACAGTGAGGCTGCGGCTTTCAGAGAAGGCAGGAGCAGGCTAGAAAGAAAGAAAAGGACCTCAAGAATGAACAAACAAGTTCTTTCATAAGGTATTTCTGAATTGACATTATTTCCTATTATGCTGAAGTTAGTCAGGTTCATCATGCAGCAGTCCTGCAAGTGGGGTTTAGRAAAATGGAGCCAGCTCTGTCTGGTTTTAAAAGCATAAAAAAACTTTGAAAAGGTATTTTCTGGAACATATTTGTGAGAGAAATACATTTCATGACAGAARTTATATTATTGATATTTTAGAATACCTGGAAGAGAGGTTTGTTTGACAGTCTGATAGCATTACATACAGCTMGGGGTCTTATTTTGCTCAGAGATATGAAAACAATGAAACATACAATATATAYTTGGATTTGTGATTTATAATGTTTCCGTGAAATACTGGATAAAACCGAATTGGGCTCCTTTCTGGTTGTGTTAGTTTTTCACATCAGTAGACTTGAGCCTAAATATTCTTGCTGACATGGTGGGAGCAGATTGGTGCAGGTGGAAGACCTGACTGGCAGAAATCCCTTTCTTGGGAGGGAAGAGCTGGAATGAATGCTGTCCTGCTCCACTAATCCTGCTTTGGGATGTCACCTCTGACAGTGACAGCCTGCTGACACCCATCACTCACTGTCTGGCCTTTCAGATCAGGTCACCAGCAAGGCTGTGCACTGCTGGTAGCCTTTGAAATGTGGAGGCTGCCCACTTGGGAATTGGGCAGATGAGGGTAAAAAATATTTGTTGAGATACCTTTGAACCTCTCACTTTCTTGAGACCCTTTCTGAGGAGAAAAATAACAGTTGAACATGGGGAAAGGTCAAGCTCCTCATCATCTAAAAGCGGATAAATGGTGCTGTTTCACCACTTATCTATCAAGTTTTAACTAATAAATGGCTGCAGCTTACGTGCTGTGCAAACAGACAGTGCTACTGCTTTGTTAGTGAGTGTGAGTTAAACCTCCCTTCCTGTGAGTGCCTGCACTGGTACCATACACAGCACCCTTGCTGGGGATGCTCTGACCATGGGCAGCTGTTTAGAGCTGCCCTGGCTCCACTGACACCTCTGGAGTAAAGATATTTCACACCTGCCAGATGYCTTTCCTTGTTTCCAAGTGCTGGTCACCGTGATATGAATGAGCTCAGTGAGGGAGGAGAAAGTCTCCAGTGTTAAAACTGTGTTTAGATGTGTTCAGCTGTGTGTCAGATGTGTTYTTTCCTTATACTGGGATGAGACATTGCAGCCTGAATCTCACTGACAAAATCCCAAGTACTTTGGCTGGGCTGTTGAATTCTACCCCTGCAACTGGGAAGTGATGCTTTCAGGAGAGYTTAAGTACCATCTTTGAAATTTGGGTAAACTTTTAGGAATAGCCTGTATAAATTAAGGCGCCTTAACCACTTTGCAGCATGGGTTGTGAGACTGTAAATTCTCTGGTCCTGTTAAAAAATACATTCGTAGGCAACGTATCCGTTTGCATGAGAATATTAATCAAAACAAATATTTACAAAGTGCCACCACACTTTTCCATCACATTTGCCTTTTTGGATCTAAAAATATATGTTTTCTTATATACAGTTATTCCACAGGGTCCAGCTGCAGTAGTTATGGGTAGATGTGCTGTCTGTGAAGCATACAAAAGTTAGCAGGAGATTGGCATGTCCCCTGAGCTGCCCGTTATTGCTTCACCAGTCGTGAATGGGGAAGAATTTGCTCACAGTTGTATATTTGACAACGAAACCCTTCTTAAATTCTTCCTCAGAGCCAAGTACAAAGCTGTCTTTTAATAAAAARATGTGTTTTTACCCATGTCTATATTTATTTCTTGCAGGAATGCACATAGTTTTCCAAGAGCCACCCACATCCTTCTGTATACAGGGTGTATTTGCATTTGCAGTCAGTCCCAGTGCAAATGTGGGAAGGGGAAAAAATCCAGTGTCATCTTTAGAGTTGGTTGCCTTTTCCATCTCTAGAGTTACTTTGAGATTATCTTGGTCACTCATTCAATTAAGATCTGTTGTATTACCTTTTCTAGAAATACATGCTATGCAAATAAGACTGTAGTTATGTTGTTACTTTTAAAATCTCTATTCCAAATGTTTGGGACAAGAAGAAGAAAAGAATTGTTTTGGCTTTAACATGCAAATAGTTTTCTCCCTTGACTTCTGCTTTTTGTTCTGCTCTCCCAAAGTTGAGCATGAGCTTAATTTTAAGCACGTGCAGCAAACTTTGGGAATTCAAGGGGATGGGGCATGTGCTTAATGCTTTTTTGAACAATGTTGCTTTTCAGAATTGAAGGCTTTGTAGGAAACTTGATCCTTTAAACGGGCTCCTGTTTATGTACATTTCAATTTTATAATATTGTAAGTTTTCCTCTTCTTCAATGTCCTCAATGTTACATCATATAATGAAAACAATACTGGTTATGCCACTTGCAATTACTGAAGTAGGCAGTGATTCTTTTTTTTTTTTTTCTAGAGTTACTGGGGAAATAATGTAAATCAYAGATTTACAAATGTTTTCCCAGGAGAAGTCCACAGTAGTTGGCTGCAAAGAATGACCCAAGTTTGGTTTATGCATAAAAGGGTGGTCATCTCAGCAGGTCAGCGATGTTTATCAAAGACGTATTGTTGATTTTAAGCTAGCTGATAATTTATTCCCTGAACTCTAGCTTGAAAAAATAATGCAGGGTAAATATTGAGTATAATAAAGGCCATGCTGCCATTCAGTGTGCACARTGCCCTCACCTTCCCTCTCCCACCAGCTCCTCTGCATTGTTGCCTTCTGCATTTCTCACAGYGCATGAGATGACCTCCGTGATTATTTGTGGGGGTGTTCAGATAAGCCCTTTCTTCACAGGCAACACACATACACACACTCAAAAGGACTGTTATAATTTGAATTTATATTGCAAGTTCAGCTATCACTTCCTCTGTTCCCACCCTGCCTTTTGGAAAGATATCCAGTCACATGATAGGCTTGTAAAAGAGCTTGCTGATTGAGGAAGGATGCAGGAAGGATATGGTTTTGCAGTGTTTGCATAAGTGTTGTGTAGGAYCTGAAGCCTTGGGTTTATATGAGGACGAGTTTAGATGGGAATTTCAAAGATTTATTTCTTATGATTTTTGAATAAGTCATAACTCCTGAAGAGTTTAGAGAGCCATGGACTAACCTGTGTTACTAGGATCCTTTATGTATTAACATGGATATCAATAATAAAATAATCTGCACCCTGAATTCCCTGCCTCTGTTCCATCACAGATCTCAACCTTACTTGAGAGAAATTGTCTCCAAAGCTTCTGTTCAAAATTGTCAGATGCAATCATGTCTTAGCAAATGTACTTCCCATCAAAATCCCTTGGGGAGTTTTGCCATTTGCATAAGGAGAGTGGTTAGGCTTGCACAGAGATCTTTCCAAAAGATGCTGTGTTCCCCCTTGGTGAAGTCCTAAGACTTGAAGAGCCCAAAACTTCGTGTCACCCATTASTGTCATGAGAGTGTATTTACTGTTATACACTGAGGGAGCTGGAGCATGGAGGTTTGTATTTTAATGCTTTGTTTTAGTCATTCCCTGTTCTGCCAATATCTAGCATCTGTATTTTTTGAACTCTTCTTAGTGGATTAGATACATCTGTTCGGTTCCAAGAATAATGCTTGATTTCCTGAATTTATAGGTTGCAATAAAATCCATTCGTAAGGACAAAATTAAGGATGAACAAGATATGGTTCACATCAGACGGGAGATTGAGATCATGTCATCCCTCAGCCACCCTCATATCATCACCATATACGAAGGTTAGTGAATGTGATTTTCCTCCCTGACTGCTCTGTTACGTTCTTGCAGACCTGATGTTCATGTTTCTTGAGATCCTGCACCAAACCAACCCCTACTCCTTGTGTAACCCATCCCTTAGCAAYGAGACTGCCTTGAGCACTGCCTTCCCTCTGAGCTGCACTTTCACAGATGATTAACCCTTTGCTTGGAAGAGCTGCTTCTTGTGTGAGTTCACTGTGTCCATGGCAGGTGGGAAATGATTGCATGTATCACCTCATGTCCTTGCTCACACTGGGCACTTCTGTTTCATTTCATGTGACCTCACTCGTGAACCAGCCTGATGTTTCTGTTCCCAGCCCCTAAACCAGTCCTTGTTTGCTTTATTTCCCCTGAGCTGCACAGGACTGAACTCAGCTGCTCTAGGACTGTGGTCCTCCCTTACCTGTCAGTTAAAAGTTGTAAGTTCTGTCACTGCAGCTTTTCCCTCTGAATCCCAGCATCCTTTTTCCTGTCCACCTCTGCACACTTTCCCGTCAGTCTGGTGGCTGCCTCTYATTCCTGTTTCCTTAGCCTGTCTTCCCCTGCTACCTTCTTTCTTCCTGGGACACAGTTGGAAGCCTGCTAATTCCTCCTTCCCAAAGCTGCTCCCTGCTCTTACAGCAATGAGCAGGAAGCCATGGGCATTCCTTCCTGATTTGCTAGTTTGTTTTTGTATCTGCAGATTGTCACTCTGTAGTAAATGTCCTAAATTCCTAAATTCCTAAATGTCCTAAATTCCTAAATTCATTCCTTCCTTCCAGAATTCATTTCTTCCTTCCAAAATTCCTTCCTTCCAAAATTCCTTCCTTCCAAAATTCCTTCCTTCCAAAATTCCTTCCTTCCAAAATTTCTTCCTTCCAAAATTCCTTTCTTCCTTCCTAAATTACTTCCAAAATTCCTTCCTCCCTGGGATGCAGATTCCAGAGGTTCACAGGGACCTAGCTCAGGCAGCCTTGTCCCTGGGGATCACCCCTTTTCCTCTGTGCAGAACAGCAGCCCTGAGTTTAGCCCTGCACATTTCCATGGCCATGAGGTAAATGCACAAGGTGATGAGATGTATATGGCAGCTCTGCTCTGAGACTTGATACCACTGATTAAAATAAGGGCTGTCTTGGCGTTCTGTTACAGTATCGCATATTGAGTTATTCAAAAGCATGTTCTTSTACTTGAAAAGAGATGAGTATCTGTCTTTTTATTGAATAAACTCATAAAAGGATCTGGGAACAGAAAAGGGGAGGGRTGCTGTGTCAGCATGTGGATTGCAAATGGAACAAAAGTTACTTCAAACGTACACGGGTACTCAGGAAGAAAAAGATATTAAGCATGCTGTGGTCCTTGGACCAATTGCCCTTCTCATTCTTACTTTAAATATTTTTTACTGGGTTAAAACATTTGTAAAAGTTAAAAAGATTACAGCATTTTTAGGAAGCAGACACATAAGTCCTGTGGGAGCAAACCTTCCCTCTCTGGCCCTGCTGAGGAAGGAGCAGTGCTTCTGCAGCAAAGCCAGTTGTGCTGTGTGATGGAGAGTTGATGCTGGCTGAGGAGGATGAGCACCCTGTGCCAGGTGTGTTTTCCAGGCAGTCAGTGTCTGGTGATGCTGTAATTCAGATATGGTAGCACTGGGAAGATGTGAATTTGTGCAGCTGAGCCCACAGGAGCAGTGATGTGCTGCCCAGAGCTGAGAGTGGCAGCTCAGGGGCCCTTGAGCGTGTGCTTCACTTGGAGCTGAAGAGTACTTGGAGTGAAGTTAAGGGACTGCAGCTAGGAGTGAAGTGTTTGTATCCTCTTGAAGTTGGATTTTAAGCACGTGGCTTAAAATCCAAAGAACTAAAGAGTTCCTCTTGAGTGATACTTAATAAAGAGTGATAAGATTGGTATCCCCTGATACGAAATGTTGAAATTGGTAAATCCTAAGAGATGATTTTCATCTCACCAGAATTGAGTTATGCAATTTCTGCAGTTGGTGTATGCTGCAAGTGTAGTGCCCCTGTAGTCAAGAGACACCAGCAGCTCCACAGGGTGGTTGGCTCCCTCCTGGGAGATGTTTTTTTTCAGACAGATGGGATAAATGACACATTGGAGGCTCCTGTTGGAGTCCTGCTAACTTAGATCAGATGCTTCACTTTTAAGCTGAAGCCACCCTAGAGATAWTTCCCTCCTCTCTCACAAATTTTTACTGTAGGTTTTCAGACTGCCACTGGATATCTGACAGCTCTCTCAGTAGGTGCCAGGTTGCACAGATACACCTTTCATGGAGCATGCTGGTTGTCCCTGTAATGTCTTTAGAAGCACTTTGTATTGCATTTACAAACATGTGTTTTCCTGAAGTAGAATCCTTGTTTAGATATCCTTTTGACCTTCCTGCTAAAAGCAATTAACCTTTGAATTTGTCTACTTGATGTAAACACAAGTGTGTCTTCTTTTATTGATACCAAGCAGAGTCAGATGTGTGGAAACAAAGCTTTCCAGTTTCGAGGTCCTTTTTTGTAACCTAATCAGRAGGCATGTTCCCTTACTGCCAGGGCAGATGTACAGTTGGGACTCYAAAGAAATTCCATCCTCTCAGCAGGGCTGTAATTGGCAATCTGTCGAGTGTGGCTGTGAGGGAAGTGCTCCTTTAAGTGACTTTAAACTCCTTGAAAGGGACTGGATAAACCAAGTTGGCTTTGCTGGCAATGTTCTGATTTCAGCACATAAATTTTAGTTTATAGAATAATGCCTCTGTCCATTCATCTGTCTGTCTCTCCCCTGCCCCTTGCCCTTCTTCTGCCCTATTTCTTTTTTGCCTTGAGAACTCCAGGATTTTGTAATAAAGCCTTTGAGAGCTAACATATTTTTCCAGGGGTAGCCTGAGTGCAAAATCTACCTCATCTGGCAATACTTTATAAAAGTTRAACCAGGGAAAGAACATTCTGCAAACATTTAAACATATGTTGGACCAATCATGAGGGTGAAGTTATGCTTGGTACATTTAGGAGTGAGCTTTTGAGTCTTTGTAGTGTGAAATACTGTTGTCTACGTGACTGTTTCTGTGCTGAAAGAGTTRTCCTTGGTCAGCATAACCATACAGAAAAGTCTGCCCATTTGCAAAATGCACTTAAAAATGAACAGACTATTAGCTAACATGTTTGTAGAAATAGTTTACTGAAGATCTTCCCTGAAGAATGAATAAATATTAGGACCAAAATTCGGTGCCAGTGGAACATGATGGTATTAATGTAAACGAGTAACGAAAGGAAAGTGTGTGCTGAAGTGCTCTGCTGAGTTGGGGCCAGGATGCTTATAGCAGTGCTGGACCCTCTGCATTAACAAGGCACAAAATATGGATCTCCCAAGTAAGATGCACTTTTTAATTTTTTTTTTTATTTTCCATTTTTAATACTCTTAAGAGGAAGTGCAGAGATTCTCCATCATGTGTCTTCCAGTTTGCAGTGGCTTGAGCTAGGCTGCATGCTTTGCTTAATCAGGAAACTGGTTCAGCTCTACTGTGCTTTCAGACCCCAAAGGCAATGGGAGATAATCAGTGTGGTACAGCAGTGGCTCCTGGTTTGCAGTCATAATCAAAACAAACTTTGGTGCCCAATGACCCCACCCATTGTGAGCSCAAAACACCTGAAAAAGCCACAAGGCCCTTCAAACATCACGTGGATAACTGGGCTTTAATCAAGAATGTTGGAAGTTGAAAAGCTGGAATGATTCTTTTTTTTGGCCAAGAGAGAGTACTTCAGCAGTGATACTGTTTAACCACATTTCTAATTGATTTCCTCTAATTATGTAGGCTTTTGACCTTCCAGTGCTTTATTCTCATTGTTTTCAGCTGATAACATCCAAGAACATAAAGTAATATTTCAAGTGTCGGGATATAGTAATGAAACAAGAACAAACAAACTTAACTCTTTACTTACCACACCCCAGCTTTATGAATTTCCTGTCATTCAGGGTGATTGCCTAAACAGTGTTTCATCAGACATGAGATAAACTCAAATGTGTGAGRTCACTGGCAGGTCCAGTTTAAATGTCAAACCGATTGCCAGCAGCGATGAAATTCACTTCCATCTTCCCATTTACACAGTCCTACCATAGCAATGTAAATATTTGCTTGTCTGAAATTCCTCAACAGTTTTAATCATAGTTTAAATAAAGGGGAGTTAGCTCTTGTATTTTTTGCTGAAACAAAGCTTATTAGTGTAACATGTTATTGTGGCTGAATTAGCAACTGTCATTTTTMCTTCCTTTTAAAGAGCAAACCATCAATCTGCATATCCTCAGTCTCGCTCTTTGAGAAACAACCTCACCAAGGATAATGGTTCTCATTCTGATTTAATGTCCTCAGTGGGGAGTAAATTATATCACACTGTCTGATTTAAAAGGATTATTGCAGGATCTTAACTACATTCCTTTAATTTAAAAGGAGATGCAATTTGGCTGAATAAGGCCATAATTCAGGAAAACAATTTAACACAAGCTTAGCATTAAAACACATACTTTWTATCTTGATATCCTCAGTTATAATTAAATATATGCATAAATTTATGTGTATCCATACAAGTGGTTTCCTCATTGTAACTGGGATATTTTCATGTCTGCTGTATGCTCTGTTTAAAACAGTAGTAAAATACTACTACTACTAAAAAAAAACCCAACTAAATAAAAATTACGCCAAGAGACTGTAAAGCAGTCAAGAACACAAAAGCTAAATCAGGCTGAATTTCTAAGGTAAATGACAGTTTTCACTAYTCACATATCTTTTTGAAGAAAATAATTCGAGTCTTATTACACAACTGAGGTAATTGGGTCATACACGAATTTTCTGAATGAAAAAGGTTATTCTAGTCTGCATCTCCAAAATTAAAAACAAACTCGCTTGTTCTTTCGATTTGGCTGACCTTTAATAAAAGAGCATTTTGTAGCAGTGGAAAGGTATGTCTGTCTGCGGCTGTTAGGAGAGTAATAAAAATACCGCTGAATGGAAAGACACCAGATGGAAGGAATGTCAACATACTGGAACTAATTTAGGAGATTGCTCTGATAGAGAGCAAAGGCATGAGGAGAATTCAAATGGTTCCAGTGCGAAGAGATTGGCCTCCCCTCTTAAACTAACAAACTAAAATCCTTACCCCAGGGTTACATGTAAACCAAATGGAATCAGCCCACGACGAGGTAGTCCTTTGGGGAGGGGGAAAATTCACCCCCCTCAGCATCAGCCCTCACTCTGACTTTAGTGTTCTATGAGCTTGGAGGAAGGGCAAAAAAACACCTGCCTTTTTTTTTTTTTATTTTGGGAGTAATTTAGGCCAAAGTGAGCTGCCCTAATAGAGAGGTGTACAATGTACCTTTAAATGTTTTTGACTGATTTTTACAATCTGGGCTTTCAACAATTTTAGGGTGAAGCATGTCTTAGCATTGAAGAAGTGTAGTGATTTATGTTCATTTGGTGTCATATGTGTCCCCTGAGTTTCAGAGGAGGTGACTTTAGTGTAGCTAGAGGGAAGAATTTGGCAGTAGGATTGAAAAGAAGGGTGCTGATGAGCAAGAGGTCAACCAGCGCTATTTGGAAAATGGAAAGCTGTAGATAGAAGCTGAGTTCATAATTTCACAGCCTCTAAATATAAATAAGTGGAGAGATTATAGCCAAGAATTATTGCTATAGCAGAACAACCTGTGAAAGAGGGACAGATTGTTCATGCTACAAAGTGTACTTTGTCTCAGATACATCTTTGATAGTGAGAAGTGTAATTGTTTCCTAGTTTCACATTTATAAAGAGCAGATTTGGTTTTGATTATCAGCYTTAAAGTACAGAACTTTCTTCCTGTCACTTTTAAAAAGCAAGCTAACAAACACAGAGTTAAGGGCTGAGTTTAAAGAACAGTTGTAAGAAATATTTCTTTGACCACTGTATCTTAATCATCCCTTTTCTGCTTGAATTGCCAAGGCTTTTGGGGTGACCAGACCAAGCCCAGGCAAGCTTGTAGCCCCCTGGAAAATGCTGTGGCCAACGTCCTAGTACTTTGCCCATATCATGGGGATACAAYCACGTTGTTCCTCACACCTTGAGGTTCATGCTGTTCCTGTTTCTGGTCCCTGATTGCTCTCACACTGCTGTCCCTGCTTCCTCCCCTGTGGCACACAAAGTGCTGTCACCTCAGAAGTCAATCCTTCAGCTGTCATCCCATCTGCTAAGGAATTGTGATTTGCAATCCATACTCTGCAGCAGCGCTCGACCACCGTGGCTGAGGTGGTGCAGCAGCACTTTCCACCACATCAAGGCCCTGTTGCAGCTCTCAGAGTATCTCAGTTTGCAGAGTGGTGAAAATAAACGCAGTGGCTCAGAGATAAATGACACACAGCCGATAGCTAACATCTCTCCTGCTGCTGTCCTCTCTGATAGGTTGAGCTCATGCCTCGTCTATACACAACCCCTATCTCTTGATTTTGGATTGACAGGCCATCTTTGCTGCTCTCCATGTCCCCTTACCTTCTTTGGCCAGCCATTTGCAGAGTACCAATGGTTTGAGAGAAGCTGAAGCAGCYCCTCCTGACTCGTACGTGGCCTCCTTCCCTTGACCTCGTGCACTTTGAGGATCACACTTGTGTGACACGGCTGTCCCAGAAACAGCAAGCTTTGGGAGGTTCCTGGGGTGCAGCATCCTGCCAGAGCCAGGCTTCTCTGCTGGCAGTAGGTGCAGCCAGGGGTCAGGCACGCTTCTAGGTGGGGCTGAGTTTCAGAATGAATATGCACTAGGATGGCAGGTAATAAATCATCTGTAATAAAAACAAAGGGTGAACCCAGCAGTCCCAGAATCTGTATGGAGGCAACCCGTCCATCATCACCCCACAGGTTACAGCCCAGGTGCTAACAGGGCACTGTATTTATTACCTCATTATTATTTGCAGTAAGTCAATCCAGCCTTTAATTAATGCCCTCCTCTCTTCCCCCAGCCGTTGGCCACGAGGCTTTCTTGAGCATRTGTTTATAAAACGWCGTGCTGTGCTCAGAAGGGAAATTCAGAAGTGCCTGTGTGAAACCTGCCTGACATCCTAAAYACTACTGGGAAAATTCATGGTATTCTTGGCTGACGGTCTGAGATGTGCCAGAATGCCACCTTGTCATATGCCTGATAATCTTGACTACTGAATTCCTCTTTAATGTTGTGTGTATGTATAGACATTAATCTCACTGCCTTTCAACTTCCTCTTCCTTCAGCTGCAGCTCTGATTTTAGATTTTTTTGTCTGCTGTCCAGTTCCCTCTCTGCAGGAAGTAGCTGTGTGCCCTCTCATGAGGTTTGGCTGATACGGTGGAGGTGCTCTGAAGGCAAATGACGCAGTTGTAMAAAATTAACTTCCTATTCACCTCTGCTCTTGGGTGGAGAAACAAATTGCTATTTAATTCTGTAATTGTTCAGCTATGGTGATGGTGCGGAGGCCTCTGTAATGTCATCTAAGTTCAAGGATGATACCCCTCAYATGATGCTCCCTTATGAACAAGAATGTGCCAGTAAACTGAAACCCAAAAATTAAGTTACTGGAATGATTCTGTTCTCATTGATTCTAGTGACAAAATTTTGAAATTCGGAACAGGGATTTACACTTTCSTATATTCAGTTTGAAGGTATTATTTCAGTTTTCTAGAGGGTGTAAGAGAAAAYTTGAAATGGAAAGTGCTTTTGAATGCCCATTCCTCCAAACCAAATGCGTTCCACTTAATTTCTGTAGAAATGTTGGAAAATATATGTGGATCGGGACTTACATTAATATGGCAAATTTGAGTAAAAAAAAAAAACTTAAAAAAAATTAAACCAGATCTTTTACATGAGTGTTATCAGTGATTTGTCTCTGCTCACTGAAACTATTTCTTTTTGCCTTCTTMAACAAGCCTGCATCCAACAAGCTTTTCCAAGCTTAGAGAAACCAATGTGTGCATTACTGTTTTATTGGTAACACATCACAGCACTTCCCTGGATGACATGGGGCATATTCAGTTTTTCCCAGACAYTATCAGTCTGTCATTCTTGGAGAGGATGCTGTATGTATAATCCATCCAGAGACGGCTTTTCCAGTTTCCGAAGTTTATTGCTAATGAGGATGCACATAGGATGTAATCGCTGGCAGGAGCTGCTGCTTTGGGGTGCAGTGAGGCCAGCAGACAAGCAAGCAGCCAATTTTATCTGGCTGTTTGCTCTCTCTTTTATCAGAGCTGTTTGGCTAGGGTTCAGGGGTGTTAGAGTGAGCTGCAGAGGCTTTGGCTTGTAGATTTGAGTGACAAGGTGTGAGAGGACATGAGACAAAGCCTAAGAGAAGCAAATATCTGTGTGTTGAGAGAGGCAGCTTCACATTTCACTGCAAAAGCTGAAGCTTATTTCTGGTTTTTGGTTTTTTTTTTGTTTTTTTTTTTTTTTTAAGGCACTAAGGACTACTGGCTGAGCTTTCCTAAAGAGACACAGGAAGGCATCATTACAATAGGGCTGATCAAAATTAGCATATATTTGTAATAAAATAAACCCTTTAACCTCATTAATTTGTATATGTCTTGCTGCCAGTGTGACCAGTGCTGCCACAGATAAAAAGAAAAGGAAAATCACCATGTTTTCATATAGCAGTGGTTATTTATGGCAGGTGCAGGAAATTTCCAGGGGGTTGCAGTGGATTTTTGGTGACAAAAGKGCAGAACTATTTAGCAGCCAGGACATTACAGCAATTCCAGCCTATTAACAGCCTGCCTTACTAGATTAAATATTTATTATCTGTCACTGACAGTGAAGTCCTTGACAGCATATGACACAGAGTACTCTCAGCCCCAAAGAGGAGAGGCTGTGACGTGTTTGAGATGAGTTTTCCTTGCTCATTTGTGCTTTGCTGCTGGCTCTGTGCAGGTGGCAGGGGACTGCAGTGCCCTGTGTGTGACATGCACTGCAGGCAGGAGATGAGGGAGCTTGAGGATGAGTTGTGTGCATGAAATAGGGTACAGAGAGTCTCACTGACAAGAGATGTACAGCTTTGGAATGCTGCAGCCACAGCAGGCTCAGGTGTCCGTGCAGAGCTGGGATGAAGGAGGACACGKGGATCAGTTTTCTTGTTGCATTTTGACAGTAGGTCATTGTAAGCCACATGGCARTCCTGCATCAGCCTTTGGAAACAAGAATTTATTATGCCTTTATTAACMCATTCCAAATGATGTGAGTGCTCCTGTTTGCTTCTGTCCTCCAGCCTCAGGCATTAGTGTTCAGTGTTACTGGCACAAGTGTCCACCTCACCTCAGCAGGAAAAGTTGACTTTGCCACCCTATTACCCCATATTATTTGAGATAAAGAACTTCCTTTGAAAGCCACATGAAGGTGAGGATAACCTCAACTTCCTTCTCTTGGTCTGAGATGTTGTAATCTTCCTCTGGTAAAAAGTAGCTTTGGAGTTTTCTTTTTGCAGTGAGATCAGCAGCTCATCTTTCCAGGCTGCAGTGGTGGTGTAGGATGTGTTCAGACATTCCGAGTCTTCTTCACTCTTTAAAGTCTCAGTTTGCAAATATATTGAATCAACTGTGGTATTTTTTCTTTTCTTTTGTTCCGTGCAGTGTTTGAAAATAAAGATAAGATTGTGATCATCATGGAGTATGCAAGTAAAGGAGAGTTGTATGATTACATCAGCGAGCGGCGGCGATTGAGCGAAAGAGAGACAAGACACTTCTTCAGGCAAATAGTGTCTGCTGTGCATTACTGCCACAAGGTGAGCAAAGGATTTCGTAGCAGAAAATGCTGTTTCAAGGCTGATTACTGGCATATATTTCAAAGCATGTCTGAGAAAACAGCATTCATTATTAAGTATCAGAGTGCATGATTTTATCAGTACAAGAGGAGATCTTCATTAAAAGTGCTACACTGAATTTTTTTAAAGACTAATGATGCTTTCCTGTGCTATGGCAGGTACCAGCCACACCCTTAGTTTAGCCCTTCATTACATTTTTTCCCTTGAAATAATTTTCCTGGCATTAAAAACCCAAAAACTGTATGAACTAGAGAAGGCATCCCATATAACCCCTACAACATTAATATTAATGCATTCAAACAAATGTTAGTTTGCAATTTGAATACGTAGTAAACAACTTTAGAATAGGAGATACAATAAATGAAAGAAAAAGCCAAAAGAAAGCTGTGAGGTTCAGCATGTGTGAGCTTTAGCATGTACTTATTCTGGACAGGTAGAAGTAACTTTACCAGATGTAAAGATTCCATTTGCTAATGACCTTATCCCTCATGGTACCCACTTGGAATGACAAGTTAAGCAATTAAACCCARGGTGGCTGACTGGCTACATCATGGACTTTTTATCCCTGTTTGTGGAACGACTGCACAGAGCCAAAATTTGTATGAGGCTAAAGGCAATGAGCAGCTAACRCCATTTTTATTTGAATTCTTAAAACACTTAAATCTCTACTTGAATTCTGATAAACAGGGGAGTTTCTCAAAGTCCTCATTACGTAGTGCTGAAAATGAATGAATTAATGCAGTTAATTTTCCCAGGTTTCTTTGAAGAAGGCTCTGACCTAGACCCAGCCTGTTTGCTTTCATCCCTGACATTTACAGCCCTTCAGGATTATAACTCCCCCAATCCACGTGGCTGCTCACTGGAGGAATGAGGGCTTTGGTAGGGGCTAATGTCATTGACAGATACTGCTTCCTGGTGCTTGGGAAGAGTGCAGTGCTTGCCCACAGTGGGGGCAGCACCCAGGGTGGAATTAAGTTCCGAATTAAGTTCCCCAGCCCTCCACCCCCTACCCCCTGCTGTTTTAGAGTCTCTGTGGGAGGACAGATTCCAGTCATTCTTCYCTTAACCACACACCAAGTGACTAATACAGAGCCTGTCACTAGTCAGTGGGCCATGAGTGTTATGACAGTGAAATCAGCCCTGAAATGTAGATGCAAAGACCACCCTGCCAGCTCACCTTTAATTTTCCCAATCTTTTCTCATGTTCTTCCCTGTTTCTTTTCTTCCTYGTTTCAGAACGGTGTTGTCCACAGGGACCTAAAATTGGAAAACATTCTTCTTGATGACAATTTTAATATTAAGGTAGGATTCTTTTTCTCAGCTTCTCAGAATGGATTTGCATGTTCTGTAACATTTTTATCCAAGGTATTAGAAGAGCCCAGTGTTATGGTAACAGCTACTAAGCAACAGCATCTGGCAAGAGGCTCAGAGGTTTGGAGGTTGGGGGAAAACACCACTGATTCCCAGTAATGCACACTAAATGAAGCTCTGCATATTTCTGGGGAGAAAGCCCTGTCCTGCCACACAAAGGCCATGATTCCCAGTGCAGTACCTACCCACTGAAACAGCAGAGCATTTCATGCTGTCCTGCTCATCGTGCACATGATATTATTGCTGGCTGCTTCTGGGGCTAGGAGAAAACTCTTCTGGTCTGCAGGGTTCAAGTGCCTCCTACAGAACACTCAGAATGTTCTTTTGATCATGGCTGGAAAATAAGCAAATAGAGTTTCAAAATAAACCTAGTAAAGCACATGTGCTTCATTAGGAAATGGCCTTGGAACTTCAGACACAAACGTATACTTTGGATAGTGATGTCAGTGATGTCATTTCCATGCCATTTCTCCCCAGTGAAAGCATGGGAATGACCTTTTTTCCTGTCTTTTTATTCTATTGTTTATAGCTGTAGCACAAAGTTAAATAATGCGGAGATTTAATTTCCAGTGTAATTTCCTATCTATATCCTATATATATTCCTATATAAAATAAGTGTAATTTCCAGTTGGCTGAGCCTGTTTCACTTTCAACTAGCTGGATGCAAGGGTGGCTGGTTATGCTCATCTATGGGCAAACAAGCAGAKGGAGGAACACCAAAGAGTTTCTGCTGACGCTTGAGCATCCTTTTTTAATTAAATAAGTAATCAAGGAGCTACTTGCATATAGCCTGGATCTTCCTTTGGTCTCCCCTGAAAGGCCCGGGGCTGCAGGCACTGCCTTCTGTGCTTCACACTGGAGAGATTGTCTTCATTTCAAGCTGATGTGCAATGGAAATGGAAAGTAACATGTGGTAGCTGCCATCTGTGTAACGCTGATGACAGGAGCTAACTTGGATCGACTCGTGGATTAAAGGCACATAAATATGYGGTTTCCAAAAATAGTCTTTTGCAGAAAGCCCATCCAGTGCAATATTTGGATGTTTTGCTGTTAGCATCCAGTGTTGGAGCAGATCTCCCCACTCCTGTTCCTGCAGGAACACTGTCTGCAGCAGCCAGAGCTGTTCTCAGCTCTCTTTTTTTTTTTTTTTTTTGAAAACAAAAAGCAGCCTTTCTAGGACATTGTATACGAAGCAGGCTTCCGCAGGCAGGATGACCTTTCTTTCCACATTACACGCCAAACTATCTTCCCAGCTAATCAGAGAATTCTTGAGAGAAAAGAGGAATTTGTGGAATTTGCTGGCTGTGGTGGGCTGAATCTTTGCGCTGTGGTCCTCATACGAAAAACCAATCACTTCCCAGTCCTCTGGGGAGCTGAGCTTTGTCAGATGGCTCTGCTCCCACCCCTTTTCCTTGATGGGAGTCGTTCTGCTGTGGGTAGAGGGAAGGATGGGGCCAGCACAGGTAGCTTTGTGTTCAGCCACACTTGGAGCTGAGCCAGGGGTTTCAGAACCACAGAGCATTTCAGCTGCCACAGCGAGTGGCACTGCTGTGAAACAAGTTCAGGTAGCTGGACCACCCCACATACCTTCAGTCACTTGGACATCTTTCTCTTGAAGATTTCCCTTTCCTGAACTGTGTTGTGTTTTAGCTGCTGTAGGTATTTTTCATATTTCCAGCCTCTCCTTGGCTACTTCTCTTCAAYGTTGAAGCCACTGAGCAGGCAGTGCTGCCTTGTCATGGGCGAGTGGCTTCTTTGCTGTCCCCTAAAAACTGCTTCTGCAAAGGGTCTCATGGAACTGACAGACTGAACTCGGGAAAATGTTGATAGTTTGTACATCTTACAGTCAATGATGTTTGAATTCGATGACTTTTGGTATGGTTTTYCTTTTTCTCTGTGTTCTCTTTTTCYCTTTTTTTAACCTYGTGACCAAGSTCAGCTTTGAATATTTGATGTTAAGCATACCACCACAATTTCCCTGATGCTGAAGCTTTGAATATGTTRCTGTGGTTTCTGTGTTACTTACACAGAATTTTACTTCCCACTTTCCCTTTGTTTCACTAAACAGTAACCGTTGGCAAGGAAACACATATGGAACTGTAAATTATTTATTAGGAGTAAATTTATCAGGTCCTCATTCTCAGAGTATTTACATATGGTTTATTCAGGCAGAAAAAAGTGCAGTTTGGAGTTTGGTATTGACTGATGGCTTCAGATACTCAGGGGAAGGCATTTTCAGAAATGGAGTGATAGTCTTATCTGTACTTTGCTAGTATTTCTATTTCAGTCAGTGGATTTCAAACGCAAAATTGGCAGTTTGATTTTAAGAATGAGAAAATTAAAGGAATCTCTTTGTTCTTGGGTGCARTGTGCAATTAAATACATGTTTCTGATGAAGCTAGTGATCTATTCACTATGATTTACAAAAACATGTCATAATAATGTGAAGAAAAAGTAAGATATAAAAATAGAACCCTGTATAGCAGCTTAAGCAATACTTTTAAAACAGGAAATAAAGAGGACAAGTAATCCATTAGAAATTATTATCCGACCTAAAAGGGCCCCTGGCCATTTTACTTGCTACTACACTAACTTGGAAACCTTTCTTAATCTTTAGATGAATTGAAGGAAGGTCATAAAGGAGTGTATGGAGATATAAGAAGGATTTTTTTTTATTTTTAAGAGCTGTGATGGTGAGTAAAAGTCTCTGGAAGCAGAGYTATGTGTTAGAATACAGCAACAAGGAAATACTGGTGTCTGGATGTAACAGAAAATTAGACATTTTGAAGAGTTCCACATGTCTGCAGGCCCAGAGATGGAGAGCAAGAGGGGAAGAAAGTGATCCAATCTGTGTTGCATTTTTAGGTTTTTCATGGAGTTGTTGTRTGCAATACTATTTCCTGCAGGCTTTTACTGAAAACCACTAAATGCAGCAAACATAAATGAATCAGACGAGTTTTAAACACTTGTGAGWCCGAATGTGCACACATACCTGACATGCACAGCTGCACGTGGGTCAGGCAGGCAGGAAGGCTGAGGCAGCTCCAAAACATTGAAAAAGCTGCCCTGAGCTGGAGACTTAGGAAGCCCTTTGTGGGAAGAGATTCAAGGGGCTTTAGGCATTTGCCTTTGGTGGTCTTAAAAAAAATGCTTTACTTTGTCGGAAGTCTCAACAACTGAATATACATTTTGTTTGCTTTAAGAGACCTCATTATTTCTCTATCTGCAGTWCAGAGAGACAGATCCTTAAGTGGGACAAACTTAACAATTTCCATGAGTGTGAACTTTGTGGAATTTATATTCCACACTTTAATAAATTACATCTGGTTTATCATAGCTAACAGTAAATATGAAACATACACTCCTGAAGCAAGGGGAATAAAAGTCTATTTTTCTGCTCCTCCCAATTTAGGAAGTTTTTTTGACTTGATGCCTTAGTTCCATTTAAGTGCCAAGAACATGAAGTAATGTTGGCTTCTATTAATCTTGTTTTGGGGGGCATGACAGTTTTAATGGGAAAAGCTGATAAACATCAGTCTGTGAGTATGGGAGTGGACTGTAACATAAATACTCTTTTCCTGAATGGTCAAAATGAAAACATGAATGCCCAAGTCTGAGAKTTTCTTAGAGTGAACAATGGTATGTATATCCCTATATATATTTATTCATGCACATCCACATGCATTTTATACATTCCACAGTGTTAAGGGAATGTATTTTCATAAGGAATCACACTGTGCCGTGTTTGTGCTTGTCTTAGCTGCATCCTGAACTAAARTAAAAATCAGTGACCAGCACGAATTTTTAACACTGAAATGATCCCATTCTTCYTCTGATTGACAGGGCACACTTCATAAGGCTTAAAACCAACTTCCTGCAAGCCAGGCAGGGTGACTTGATAAGAAAGTGGAATTTAAGGCAATTAAGTGCAATCTGAGCCATGAGAATATGTTTGCAGACTGCAATTGTACACCAGCTGTTTTCAATGACATTCCAGCCATACAATGAAGATTTTACAAACCACATTTATTTAAGGGTTGAATTTTCTGCTGTGGGTTGATAATATGCTGTCTGAGGGACTGAGTGAGTKCAGTCTTTGAATGGACATGGTGAGATGAATTAAAATTAATGAACAGAAATCAGCTGCTCTTTGAGCAGGGCGAGTCCAAATTGTGAGTAAAACACCTGCACAAGCAGAACATCAAGATAGGGGAGGGTGAAGCATGAAATCTCATGTCTGACTGTGACTTTAAAAATGGTATAAAAATGGGATTTTTTWAAAAAGTTTGTATTTCTAACTTGAAAGTACCTAACAACTACACATATATATCTRTTTCTATCTGTTTATGAAGCGTATATGCATTCCTGTTTTGGTCTCAACTGTGTCATTTTTCGGTGTAGCTGTAGAAGTTTAGGTAGTAGAGGCAAAGACTTTACCTCTCCCAAGAGTTCACTAAACATTGCAATTCAACAGGTATTAGAGGCATTGATGATAAACATTTTAGAAAGCCAGGAGTGAATGATGGTGCWGGCAAATCCTTTTCTTTTCCATTCACTTTTAGTTTTCTTGAATTTTCTCTTGTGAAAATTCCTGGGATTTAATTTCTTTCCGGTAGRAAAGACATGAATAAGGTGAAGAAAACCCAGAGAAAACTCCTGTTTCTTATAGCTGTAATACCTTTTCTATGCTGTGCTTTATGTCTTTTATGTAGGCATTATGTTGATTGTGGGCAGTAATACAAGGATCTCTGGGAAGCAGAAGCATTTGGGTTTTAACCAAGATGAAAATGAGATGTGTTGCCTTGTGCTAGAGAAACAAAGAAAATTCAGTGGTTGTGGGAGTATTTGTAAGCCTTTGTTTTGTAAGAATGAGAACGGAGAATTGAAGTAAACAAAACATTTGGACCTGATCCTGCAATTCCTACATGGGCAACATTCCCAACAGTCCCAAGTGAAGTTTTGTTTGTGTTGGGAAAGCCGGATTTGGGCTCATTGTTTCCAGTTAGGAACCAGACTTGTGTTTATTATCTCGTGATAGACATCTCGTGGGCTTAGCAGCTCAGATTGCTCAGCCCCATGTCCTTGAGCCTGGACGACTGAGCAGCTGCCTCACTTTGCCCCTTGTTCAAGCGTAGCTACATTCCAGATGATTTCCAAAATCACTCCTTYCAGTAATGCTTGGCTTCCTGCAACACTCCTGCCTCCCTCCTCCTGTTGAATTCATTCAGAGGTCTTGGCTTTTGGCTTGTGTGTGTGTGATAAGAAGGGTGGTACTCTCTGCTTGCTTCCCTGTGGATTCTGTTAATGACTACACAAGATGAAGAGCAGTCAGTGGCCAGCAGGTTTCCCAGTGGGAGATTGTCTTTGCAAGCACATGCARTTCATCCAGGATGAAATTCCAGCTGATGGTTGTGCAGTCAGTGGCCTGTCTGTTAATGGAACCACAGCATCCTTGTTCCTAATCAGGAGGATTTAACCTGGGAACCCTTCTTCTCTGAGGGCTCTTTAGGGAAAAATGTCAAATCCACATCAAGTTCCTTGCCACAGGACAGAGACAGTATAGCTAAGTCTTTCCTGATAAAGGATTTGTTGTTACTTTAAGAAACATCAATATTACAAATGCTTTGTGTGATTCTATTTGCAGATTGCTGATTTTGGACTCTCCAACCTTTATCATAAAGACAAGTTTCTGCAGACCTTTTGTGGAAGCCCACTGTATGCTTCCCCTGAAATAGTCAATGGACGGCCTTACAGAGGCCCAGAGGTAAGAAGGGTCAGTTTTTCTGTTGTGGCATGGGGATGTCTTTGAGGATAACGTTCTTGAGAGCTGGTATTAATGCAAATGCTTCTGTGCATGTGAGTTCACTTGGGTCTGTCCCTTATTTGAAGCTCCTAAGCTGCTTCACTTGCTTTTGTTTACATTGCCATGGGTGGTTAGTGAGAGATCAGATCCCAGTTTGCCCAGCAGTAGGTGCAGCTGGGCATGATGTGGTGAATGACAGGGAGAAGGGCAGAGATCAGCTTTCCTGGGTTTCACACGTGTTGTGTCTGTATTTCAGGTTGACAGCTGGGCCCTTGGTGTTTTGCTTTATACTCTGGTTTATGGAACGATGCCCTTTGATGGCTTCGATCACAAAAACCTCATCAGGCAGATCAGCAGTGGAGAATATCGGGAGCCAACACAGACCTCAGGTATGAAAAGGGAGAGAGTGCCATGGTCTGACTTACAGCAGCTCAGAATGTTTTGTTCAGCCCCTTCCAACATGTTACAACATCATATTAGAATGATGTACACAAAAAAAACCAAAACTCATTCTCCTACTGAGTTCCTCTTCTGTAGATTCCTATCTAGGTACAGCATTTACCAAAAGCCCTTTTGAAAKTAAAGTTTTATAGCAGATTTTGTTGCCTTGAGGAAGCTGTCACGAGCTCTTTTAAATCGATCGGTGACAGTGGAAGATCTGTGAGCTATTGCAAGTGGAATTGTTCAGACAAGCTGTAAGCTGATACCACACACTGATAGAAATAAATCCTCTGCTGTGGTCTGCCACAGGCAGGAAGAGGGTGAATGGTCAGAGCAACACAGTCCCTTACTAAAGAGGGCTGGTCAAAAACTGAATTAATGCCACTGGGTTCCCATCAGCTTCTAGGATAGCACATAGAGCAGTCACCTGATGGAAAAATATCAGCTAAGTCTGGCTCATGGATTATAATGATTCCTTTCAGCCTTAAATATCTATGTATACATTATATTTAAATGAATATTTATCTTGTATTAGTTGTTTGCCATCCCTTTCAATTTTTTGCCTTCTCCCTCTGTATGAAAATAAACCTTTAAAATACACAGAAGACTGCATTGTTTATGGAAAAAGCAAATACAGAAACAATAATGTGTAGATCATTTAAAATACCCCAATTCCATTTTGTTTTCCTCTAAATTTTGTCATTAGAYTCAGTAGGTTGGTGAGTTCCTTTARTAACATGGAACTATTCMCTGTCTAATACAGTACAAACATTCATTCATTTAATAGCCCAGTGTACATTTTCCAGAGTGAATCATATTCTTCTGATAAAAAGTAGTACTCAGAGGCATTTTCCATCATTGACTGATGGCCAAAGCTTTGTTCCTTTTCACCTCTCCTGTTGTGTGGAGCATTATTTTTGCTCATTTGATTGGCTTCACACTTGCAGTTCAAACTGACAAAGCTAAGAATGCCCGTGTTCTAAACATGTTTTATGCCATTCTTCATCTGCAGATGCTCGTGGTCTCATCAGATGGATGCTGATGGTGAACCCTGAGCGCCGAGCAACCATTGAAGACATTGCCAACCACTGGTGGGTGAACTGGGGCTACAAGAGCAGTGTCTGTGACTGTGATGCCATGAGGGACTCCGAGTCCCCGCTGCTGGCAAGGTTCATCGATTGGCATCACCGTTCTACCGGCCTCCAGCCAGAGACTGATACCAAAATRAAGTGCCTTTCTAAGCCCAAAGGTCCTGAAGTCACACTAGAGAGACAGAGGTCTCTGAAAAAATCAAAAAAGGAAAATGACATTGCACAGTCCATCCAGGAAGGAGGAGCTGAAAATGCAACCAAATCGACCTCCAAGAGACCCAAAGGCATCCTGAAGAAAAGGAGCAACAGTGAACATCGCTCCCACAGTGCCGGTTTCATTGAAGGAGTTGTCAGCCCAGTRTTACCCTCTGCTTTTAAGCTGGAGCAGGAGTTGTGTAGGACTGGCGTGGCCATTAAAAGTGTTGTAGAGGGAGAAGTGGCTGGCAAATATGGCACTAAGCAGTCTTCACTAATGCCAAAAAAAGGAATCCTAAAGAAGACTCAGCAGAGGGAGTCTGGCTATTACTCCTCTCCAGAAAGAAGCGAATCTTCTGAACTCTTGGACAATAATGATGAGACAGTAAACGGTGACACTTCTCCAGGGGTCACAGAGMCATCCAGAAATGGCTCCTACAGCCATTCCTGCAGGCGTAAGGGCATCTTGAAACACAACAGCAAGTATTCYAGCAACAGCACTGAGCCTGCTTTGATCAGCCCTGACACACCAACGCTGGAAGCCATGGAAGAAATGGTCTTGCCTGGGGACGCGTTACCTCGCAGTTACAGTCGCCCTTCCAGCRTCATTAGTGACGACAGTATTTTGTCCAGTGACTCATTTGATTTGCTGGATTTGCAAGAGAACAGGCCAAACAGGCAGAGAATACGGAGCTGTGTCTCTGCTGAAAATTTCCTCCAGATCCAAGACTTCGAAGGACTCCAGAACCGCCCACGGCCACAGTATCTAAAGCGTTACCGCAACCGTCTGGGGGACAGCAGCTTTTCCCTTCTCACAGACATGGATGACGTGACTCAGGTCTACAAGAAAGCCCTAGAGATCTGCAACAAGCTCAACTAGCAGAGGGAAGATGGAAAAGGGAGGGAAGGGAGTTATTCTGTGTACCTTTATGGTGGAGTAAGCCAGGTCACTGATTTGCTGACAATGGGTTTTGATTCAGAGGAGCTGACTGTACCTACTCAGCTGAACTCCTAGTGAAGTAGCCCTGAAGCCATCTCACACTTCTCTAATTTTGTGTCCTCAAAATATTACCTACCTGACAGAGAAAAACCTTTGATTTTTATATCTGTGATGAAAGTACATCAGCAGCTAGCAGACAAAAGCATTGAGATTTGATSGCTCAAAGTCAAAGCTAGACAGAATTAAAACTGGAAGTGAGKGACACACGTTTTGAGAAGTTTGTAATAAAGTTTAGATAAGCTTTATCAAGAGATGAGCTGAATTCTTCAAGTCAAATTTGGTTGCCTCTTAGAACAAGAGGCTTTATTTCCCCCTGAAGTTGTTCATCTGGGYACAGAGATTGCACAGTGGGAATCTTTGGCTTGTGTTACACAGGAGGCCAGGCTGGGTGGTTGCCCTGGTCCCTTCCACCAGGATGATCTGRGGGGTTCTGAACATGTTCTAAGATAATTTGAGAGACTCGCCCCATAAACACCTCATGAGGTGTTTGTGGACAAGTGATGGAGCAGACATTCATAGCTGGACCTCCCACATTGTCCAGAGCCATTGAGCAGAAAGTTCTAAAATTGTTTCCAACTACTGCTCCTCCCAGCAAAAAGAAAGCCAGAAATGTGAACTGGAAGAAATGGGTGTTATCAGCAGCTAAATGACCTTTTAAGGCATTTCAACCCATGTGTTCAATCTGTGACTCTTTCAGAACATACAGCCAGATGAATGCCCAGATAAAGATGCATCTGACAAAGGGTCTCAAGGACTAGCTCACCCTTCAATCTAGAGTTCAGTCGCTGTCAGCAAATGGTGCCACCTTGCTGCTAGCTTGTAGCATTTGGGAGTGACAGTAGTTTGTGACCAGAATGTTAGGTAAGGAAAAGGTTGTAGAATGTAGGAAAGGTTAGAGGTCAGGAAGTTAGCAGAAAGATGCYTTTTTCAGAATGAAAATGTTTCTAGGTTGGTGGTAATGGAGCAGAAAGAATTGAGTGATGAAATGGTAGATTTAATAACAGAGTTAGCATTAGAACTGTGGGCCTGCCTCTATCTAGTGTAGCTGGTACTGAGYGTGCAGTTTGTGAGAGCAGTTTGAAAAAAAAGGATATGTGTTTGTGTTCTCAGACATATCCAGCTATCCAGACCGAAGGCTTCTACTCCCATAAAGGTACCCATGGGTCTACTGGATTATCTGAATGTAAGCCTRTGTGAAAGGCACTGTGTGTTTGACAGGCCTGGGCAAACTGGAATCTTCAGGCCCGTTTCAGTCTCATTTCCATGAGCACAGAGCCCCTGGCTTTCTTGGAGGTGCACTGGTGTGGTTAAATCACAGGTTTCAGCCTATGACATCAAATGATCCACAGCTGCAAAATTTGTATCTACACTCATACCCAGAGCAGAGGGGCATGGGGCAAGTTCTGGTCTCCTCCTGCCCTGGAACTGGAACTAAAGCAGAGTTTGACCCACTGTGTCCCAAACCCTAGAGATGGTGCAGAATCCGAATGGAGTACCCCTCTGGGGATTCCTTGGAATCGGGGATAAGTCCATATATCATTGGCATCTGGGACAGGGAGCTATTTCACTTGCAGATTCCTCTTCCTCAGTTATCATGGTACTTAAATCTGCCAATTCCTCTTAAAAATCAAGTGGGCTGCCTTGCATAAAGATGAACCAACTTGAGTTTTCTAAATCAGTTTATCTGCCTCTGCGGAGAGCCTTTACCTATTACTTATTTACTTACACTGGACCAAATTTGTCTCTGAAATGAATGGAATCAATACCATGAAATCTCTGAGAGATGTGCTCTCAGGCAGTCAAGTGAATCTGGCTCATGTCATGTGCTCAGGAAGGGCAACTGCAGGTCACTTCTCCACAGATGTGCACCTCTCTGTAAAATACTCAGACATCTCATCTTCTCTCACAAGCCCTGCATGTGCTCTTTTACTCCATCCCAAACCCGTTTTGCAGTGTGTTGAATTAAGGTTTGCTGTGGTGCATTTTAAACAACTCGCCRTCATCTCCATGGCCTTTCTGAAAGGAGGGAGGATGTTCCTTGCAGCCACAGCTTKGAGCTCAAAACTCACACCCTGTGCTGTGAGAGCTGCATCCTCCACTGCAGTCTGTCACTTCGGTGGGGTTGAGCTCCTTCCCTGCACCTTGAGTGCATTTATAGGGTTTTCAGGATGAAGGGAACTCAGCTGGCCATGGCAGGGAAGTCAGGAGCACCCCAGAAGCTCCAATCTCCAAGGTTTTTACCCATGTCTGCTTCCTTGTGTACAAATGTGAATGAGTGAGTGACTGCTTGCTGCCAAACTGGAAATGTTTTGTAGGGATTTACTGGCATGTTACTGGCATGTTACATGTTTACTGGCATGTTATCATTCCTAGAAGAGAAGAAGAAAAAAAAAAAGACTTGACTGCACATTGTTACTATTAGTGTTGTGATTCTTATTTAATTTTTTTTGTAATACAAAATCAACTTTTTTATTTGAATTTTTTTTTTTTATTTATTGGTCTRAAAGCCATTTCAAAGTTATAATAATATATTTGGTGTAATTTAATTGGTGCAACATTATTTTACAGCTCTGGCCAAAATTGTTTGGTGTTATTTTTTGGGTTTTTTTGTGTTTTTTTTCTCCCAGTCCTTGGTTGGTTTGAGCTCTATGAGGCACACAGGGAAAAACGCTGGATAATCACCCGAAGTGTTTGTATTTTTAATCTGATACTGTTTTTTATTAAATAAAATGAAATTAATGTAACTGTGAAGAGTCTCTCCCCCTTTTCTTTTTCACTGTACGTGAGCATGAGCCAATGCCAAATAGTAATGAACTTGTCATGCAGAAATACAGCAGCATCTCAGCACTTTGTACCAAAGTTGTTTGTGCAAACCTTGGCTCATTTGTGCATTTGAATATCGTGTGGGTGGCCACAGAGACTCCCTTGCTGTGAAGCATTTGGCACTGCAAAGCACCCAGAGCTTTCATTTCTAGAAGAGTTGGGTGGAGAGCAGCTGACTGCGGGTTTTCTGTGGAAGATAAATGAAATTTGTGGGCCAGGTGTGCTGTAGGTGAGACAGCACAAAATAAGGATTTTGACTGCTATCAAAATAAGAGCTAGCTGAGCTGACACAGCACAGCTCATTGGTAGCTCAGAGACTGCTGGCCCTTTCTCCCCATCTGGAAGAGGGACAGTTTATTGGCCAGGTTCTTRTTAGTAAAATTTAGGGAGATTGAGCAGTAATTTGGTCAAAAAAGACTGATGGCCATTCACTGCTGTCAAATGTGTGTTTGCTTTGGGTCAGAMGGCTTTGAACAGACAGCATAATCAGCTGATGAGAGGGAAAAAGGGGAGTCGGTTTTCATTTTTTTGGAGTCCCCATGATCACCAGAAAGCTTTGGATTGCTTTTCTTGGAAAACAGGTGAAGCTGGGTGTTAGGTGTGCTGTGTGTGCTGGGGATTGTTACAATAAAGGAAATGGTTGGCAATGTCTTCATGCTGGCTCTGAACAAAACTCAATCAAGTTTCACCCTTGATGCAGCCAGCCAAGATACCTGTGGTGTATATTCTGCTTTTTTACATTACAGGCATTTTGGATTAGGATCCAAGATTWGGATATTATGGAAAAAAAAAAGGCTTTGATTGTTCTAATTCATGTTGTCTCAAGCTTTTTAAAACAAGAAGCCATGACTGTATTTGCTAGATTACAACCACTTAAAAACCAGTGGGAATAAAGGGAAGAAGCCAGTGATGCAGAAGGGTAAGCAGGCATTAATACATTACAAAAGGAATGATTATCTTGCTGTGTGCTAATTGAGTCAGGAATTAAGAGGTGCASATTCAAAGCCAGCACGCCTGTTCTTGCACCTTAGGTGAATAAGGTCTAATTGTGCTGGTGGTGGAAAATACACTGCAAGTCTCCTGGGTAATAGCAATTATGAAACAACCTTTTTTTTTTTTTTTTTGACACACTAGTTAAAAAGGGAGGCTGAAGGCAAACTATTTGTTTCATTTTAAAAATAATGACTTTTAGAAAGTTCTGGATGGCTGGGCATGCTGCACTTTTGTGAAGTAATTATGTACATGTTTGTACAGCTCTGAGAGTGCACAGCTCTGGGGTGGGGTGGGAGCTCGGAGTCTTCATTTTCCTGCTTAATTTTCCAGAAGATGAGTGCAGAGCAATATGCCTTAGCTGAAGTTACACGGTAAATCTGCAGACAGACTTGATCTTTTAKGTTTGCTGTGTGGGCATTCCAGTGTTTCTCAGGAATTGTTGAGTTTTTAGGGTTTGGACGAGACRGGAGCATTTTCTGCTGCAGCCCAATGAATTTGCAGATAAATTTGTTATTGACTCCATCAGCAAGTGCAGTAAAACTGCAACAGCAGAGCCTCAGTTATAGCTGCAGGGTAAGTCAGAACCAGTCTAATGAAGGGAGAGTCTGATACTCATGTAAATTCCATGTATGTAAGGAGCTTATCGGTTTAGTTCAGCCTTTATCTCAGTGATTCACAGCTCACTTTAATGAGCTGCTTCTGGAGGCAAATCTGCAGGAATGCGTTTGCTGAGCCAATAGAAACTCTGACGTTTGCAGCATCAGCCCAGGGTCTCTGGTACCTGTCCCAGGATTACTGATTTTGGGGTTTCAACTGAAAGTTCTACAACAGAAAAGAATAAGCTGTTTCCACTGCATTTAAAATTCAGCTGGAGCTTTTTTTCTTGTCTGGTGGAGCTGTCTTTTCCTCCTTGCCAGASCAAGACATCTTTCTCATAAAAGACTTGAGTAATTTGGCTGGAGAAGCAACTTTTTTGGATAGATGATCTGAGCATTTTGTTTCTGGCTATCTCTCTCTATTCCTTGCTCTCTGCCCCATATTTCCTGGAATTTCATCAGTGCAGAAAACCCTTTGATTTGCTTGTCATCTGGCCATACAGAGCCCTGAACTTTTAAGGAAATTATATTTATTTGCRCTGACGCTTAATTGTTCCTTGGAAAAGCACTTTGCAAGACAATTTTATGAATCTCCAGAAGACTCTTTGTCCCAGCTCAAGTGCTGTGCTTGGAGTTCACACCGAGCATTGCACCAGGCCCGGGGCCATGAAGGAATTAGGTGACCACTATCAAAATAAGGAATTCAGCTGTGGGTGCTGCAATAGGTGCCCTTTGGGGTCAGATCATCACCCTGCTGCTTCATTCAGCAAAATCTCTCSACTGCCAGTGTGAACTCAGGGTTTTTTGACGCTGAAAATCCATGCCCAGGCTTTCTCATAGTGAGCACCCTGCTCCGAAGCCTTTGCTGTGGGAATTTTCCTTTTTTGACCTTTCCCCTTTATCCTATTTACTTAGCACTAATAAAGTGTGTTTCTCTCATGCAGTCCAAGTCCTGTTTTGCTCCACAAACTGCACAAATCCTGTCAGGATGGTGGGTTGAACTCTGCTCACAAGGTCCTTTTGCAGCTCTAACCCTAGCTGTGGCCTTTCTGCTGGGATCCACCTTTGCTGGTCCTTTGGAGCAGGCAGCTTTTCTTCCAGCATGAAGAAACGTGGATGGGACCCTGCCCAGCAGGAGTCCAGTTAGAAAACTGCTCCTTTCATAGGCTGGGGAGATGCTACTGCATTTAGAAATACGAGGAAGAAATATCTGAAAAGCTGTGGAGGAGGGAGAATTTTTCTTGTGGCTCTGCAGTACATAGAGTTTRTTAAGAAACCCTTCCAAATTTCAGCCTCAGAGATAATAGGACAAGACATACTTTAAATAGAACCAAAGGGAAAACAAATTCATAACAGATGTTAGGAAATATGTAAATACATGTTTATATTTACATATAAAGCCCTARCCCTCGCCTGCCAGGCGAGATTGCGAGGACCAGAGTGTGTGTCATCATTGCAGCTGCACTGGGAATTSTCAAAAATATTTCTTGAAATGTTCCTTCAAACTCTGTTGTTCTCTTTAGCTGCACGTCCCACAGCTTGACAGTTTAATCAGAAGATTCCTTGGGAGAAGGGATCTGCTGCCTGAGAAGAGATACTTGCTAAATTCCCACACAACTCAGTGCCACAAGGAATGTTCAGTTTGCTCCAGCCCTTAGAAACCCCAAGGTAGTTAAGGCCCTTGTGCTCCCTGGAAAAAATTGTGTCAGAGTGGAAAGAGGCAATGGGTAACAGTCAATTATTACATCCCCAGATGGTGCAAACTGATGTTCACCCGACCTGGACAAGCATCCAGCCTTAAAAACCAAATTCCATCATTGTCAAACTGTGGTTGGATGGAGTGGGAATATCTTCCAGCCCCACATGCTCACCATTTGATTTCTCCATATGAGGAATTCTGTATTTTCATAAGCAGTGTCAGAAATACCTGTTTGTGAGAAGCCTCCCTTTCACCTGAATCTTTGAGGGTGATGGTCACCATCTGCTCTTTGTGACCTCAGCCTGAGCTGTGGTCCCTTGGTGCTCACAAGGATAAACCTTACTGGACCTTAGSCTGAACTGTTGAAAATGAAGACACTCCAAGTCAGTAACTCTGAAACATTGAGCCTTTCCTTGATTCTTTAAAAACAGACACACCAGGGCATTGCAAAATTGTGGGGAAATTGAACGATTCTTCAGCTGAATAGGAGCTTTATCATTAGTGGTGATTTTTTAGGAAATCAAAATGTTTTTAATTTCTTGGGAGTGTGTAACTGTGAGTRCTGCATAAAAGACAGGAAGCTTCAGCCCCTTAGAAAAACAAGACACTTGCAAAGCTTTCAACAGCCCAGAGCTTGAGTGCTACACTTCAATAAATCAGTTCTTTCCTAAGGGAAATAATGCTTTGGTCAAGTTTCTAATGTGCTCTTATCCCAGTGTATCCCACCAGACYAGTGTGGATGGGCATGGAAATTATTCACTTTTGACATTAATAGAGAAGACACAGCTCAGATAAGCAGCACATGAAAAACATCACCTGGTCTATGAAGAGATAACTGCAGTTGCTTTTTAGTGGAGCCAAAATGATGTTTCTGAAAAGTTCTGAATTATTATCCTGAWCTAACAATGACTTAGGTGGATAACTCTGGAACAAACAAAACTATTGATAATCACAGAAAATAAGGCCGAGTAGGGGCAACATTTCATCTTGGTGAGGGAACAGAGAGACAGTCTTCCCTTGCACTGGATTTAAGTGAWTACAAATTTCCTCCTGGTGTTCCATTCTGCAATTGGAGCAGATTTACTGAGGAATGAGGAGCCTCCCTCATTCCTTTTCCCATGGCAAGTACAAGCAGTTGGGTTTGCTCACAAGAGCTGCAGATTTGTCCCTTGTCACCATTCTGCACAGAGAATGGGACTCTGCTGGCTGAGAAGAGCCCTCAGAGCCCCTCCAGGGGTACAAAGAGAGAGCCCTGGTACAACCTGAGCGTGAGAGAGGGATCAGTGCCCCCAGTGAGCGTTAATGGGGCTGCCAGGGACAGCTTTKGTTCAAGTTCTGCCATGCAAACAAAGGAAGATTTGCATATTTTCCCTTCTAACAACAGCATGCACCCCAACACCTGCAAAAGCGCCCCTTGCATAGGGGGCCTCTCTAAAAATACTTCAGAAAATACTTGTGTTGTGAGAGGACCCGATTGCTTCAGATAGCAGAAAAGCTTTTTTTTTGTGTCAACACACTCACTAAAYCTTAATTAAAAATGTACTGTTCCACCACATTTACCTGCCTTTTCTTCTGGCGAGGCTGCTACTACTGAGACAGGAATTCCTGCATTAGTTTTTGTGCCTTTCCCCTTA